CGGATCCCCGGGGAGTCGTTTTCAGGCGGCACGTCCCACAATCGACACGCTTGACGTGTAATCCGATCGACAAGAGATGAATGACGTTTGTCTTGTTGTGTCTTCCGTTTGGCAAACGTTATAGCGGCGTCACGAACTGGAGCAAGCTTGAAACGGGCCGCATTAAGTCGACTACGTTTGTTTACATTTCGGGGAGTTTTGACCATAAAACGGAGTAGGAAAAAAAGGCTTCAACAGGCGGCGAGGCGTATTGCGCAATGCAAGCCTTTAGGAACAACGCGGGCAAATTTCGGCTTTCAAAATAAAAGCATTCTAATATCATAACATTTTGATCAGATGTTCACTGGCCCCGCTCAAACAATTTCTTGCTTTTTCAGCACGACTGCTAAATAAATCACCTTGGGCCAAGCAAAGTGTGCTGATTTTTATTATATTTTTTTACATTGATGTGTTTTAATTTGGAAGGTCAGATTTCTGACAGAATGTGTGACGCCGATATTGCAGTCTGGGATGGTTGTTAAAAGCGTGCATTGCATCTGTTGAAGCCTTTTTGCGCAGCTCACCAAAAGCTCAGCGCGCATCGAGTCCAGGAAAGGAATGGCTGAGTCAAGTGTTGTTTTTTTTTAACAATAACTGGTCGGATGTTCAATAACCATGGCAAAATTTTGAGCCCCCTCCCCCAAAAATAATGGAAACCCTAATCATACCAAAAGTAATATTGAACTCTAAGTCAGTGTTTTGCTTGCACAAGAAAGTGAAGTGAACTGTCAAGACATAAGCGAGGAGGAGAACCTTTTTTTTTTTTTTTTTTTAATATTAGGTCCAATTTCGCAGCCAGCGCGAAGGCTGGTGTGGTTGCTTGAGAGCACCTCGTCATCTGCCACAAGTGCACGCACGCCACAGAGAGAACGACGGAAAGGCAGGGACATTTGTGAAGCAAGTTTTGGTTTTGTCAACTTGCTTCTTGTGCTGCCCAGTTTGGCAAGTGCCTGAATTTGTTTTTGAGACTTTCTGAACGTCTTGACCGGGACCACAAACGGACTCTTTTCAAAGCGCTATCCCATCTGATTTCCCTGACAGGATTCTCGTGTGCAAACGACGGTGGAATCAAACCAGTTTGTTTCCCACCAATTTGTCGTGTGTTTGAGTTGAAATTAGAGCGTGACGTAAACACAGAAACAAAGACGGTTAGCGCTGCTACTCGGGCCGCTGCTGGTTTGTTTGACTACGCATATTTCTCACGCAGAGCCTCACACACAAAAAAAACGCCCCAGCCAGGCATCCGCTAATAGAGTGTGTCATGGTTTGATCAAACTGGTTTTGTGAACACGGGAGGGCAAACGGTGATGCAACGAAGTCCTTTTTTTTGTCTGCCTCATGTACAAAAGCATTTCCTTGTTGTACCCCCCCGTGCGACATGCTCGTGTAGACAGGCGGTAATCAGTGCAGCAGGGCCGTGGCCGTGACGTGACGCGGGCAAAGCGCAGGTATCTGCTCGCTAAGGCAACAATGAACCGTGTCGGCTTGCCGGATATTTAAGAGCGATGCATAAAATGAAAATTGCAATTTTGAGTGAACACATGCGATACAATCAAATGAAAGGAATGCAACATTTAACTGTTTCTAAAAAGTTGGTTTTCAATCCAGTACAGTACTTTGTTTTTTTTTTTTAATCTTCATGTATGGTACATTACATTTTTTACTTCACAAATATAATTTAGTTGTCTTAAACTGAAGTACAGCAAATGTGTAAGTACAGGAACTGTGCGTCGGTATTTGAATGTTAGTACTTTGGTAGCTACAAAGATTTGGGGCGCATCTCATGCGGCATCAAGTCATCTCATTCTGACATGCTGGCCAGAATCTCTTTGATCCCCAAGATCTTCTATTTACGGGTGCTACCGGCGCCCCCTCTCCCCACACACACACTTTAACTCCCTCTCCCCCACATGCCACTATCAGGCCAATGATGTGTACTCAACTAAACTAACCCAATAAAAGCAATCATGTGCACTTCCAAACAACTCAAAGTCTGTTGAGCTCTCACTGTGCTGAAGATTTGCACAACACGCCTTTGCCGCCACCTCGGGGTCCACCCCCCGGCCCCCCAACCGCCACAAATGCTGCCCCCCAGATTGCTTTAGGCGGGCCTGTGGAGATGGCGCGGCAGGGGGCGAGGTAGAAAAGCGAAGCAAGGCTTGCTGGGGTGTGAACTGTAACACTGACCCTGCCCCCCCTCCCCTCCCAGCCGCAAAACCCGCCACCCCTTTGATCACCGGTCCTCGGTGACAGTGTGCCATTCCACACCAAATTGCCATGTCGCCCCACACACACACACACACACACACACACACACACACACACACACACACACACACACACACGTTGGAAGAAACTACAGTGTCCCCCATTTTATCACAAGGGAACATGCCACCCACCATAGGTGAAAATCTGCAATGTAGCAAGACCGTATACCAAACATTGCAAAATTTTGACCACTCATCCATGCGTTGAAACTCATTGAAACACGCTGAAACGGATTCAAGGACTCATTTAAAAATATTCCTTCTTGCCTGTTCTCACACTCTCGCTTATTGTCAACTGGGAGGTGGTCATATAACATCACTCTGAGGAAATGAAAAGACTCATTCGCAAAGTTAACCAAATAAGAGGTCCTCCAGCGTGCTTGCTTCAAGTTATTTTTGTCACTTAAAAAGTGTACTTTGAAGCTAATCCATAAAAAGAGAACTAAACATTGTACACGCGGAAGGCAGAAAATGAATCATTCAAATTGCTTTGTCAGCAACATTTTACGAAATGAGTGTAATCTCTCCAGCATATCAACAGCGCTTCTCCACTTGAAAACGTTCAGCTCACTGAGGGCAGCCCAATTTGCACATTGCCCCCATGTTCCCACAATCGCACATTTCCCAAGAAAATAAATCCCAAGCCGACAAATGCGGCGGCAGGTAAAGCACTTAAAGGGCTCGGATGTCACGCGACCCCTCCTAATAATCCGGGTCGTATATTTCTCCGGGAGGATGTCATCGCATTCTCGCTTGGAAAGATAACAACCCTGAGGGCAGCACAAGCGACCAACCCGGGAGCAAGATTGAGGCTTGATCATTTTCTGAAATTGCAACTTGGGCCACATGGCCACCGGGGGCAGTATAACAAAGTCTCACTTAACTGCTATACGTGACTCAGTAATCCGATGGGGGGTGGGGGGGGGGGAACAATTTACAAAACCAAACACGCAAGAGGAACATCTCAAAAAGGATTCCGATCGACTAATTTAATTTCTGCCGAATTTAAAGACATGACTTTGAAAATATGATGTCACAATCCAGGAACGTGTTGAGGATCCTCCAGGCGGGCCAAGGTGAAATTCTAAATCAAGTTGGCCGGTTGCCTAACTCAGTCAATTTGAAAAAAGAAAAAAAAAAAAGCATCATTATTGAGCATGAAGTGTTGATGGCGCCGCTGTGGGCCGAGGCAAGCAACAAGAAGGAGACAAAAGGTGATGGACGATGACGAAGAAGCAGAAGCGCACGGCGGCTATCTGCTGCGGTCATCTGGTGCAGACATGAGCCAAAAGAGAGCAAAGCGCTTGAAAAATAAGCTGGCCAGCAGAGACGTTATTTTGTTACGTCTGGCAGACAGAGAGGCACCTGGGAAATCTGAGCTTCTTAGGGACGAGTGCGGAGGGGGGACGGGGGGTCAGCCAGCCTTGTGTGTGGCTTTCTCTTTCGCGACTCGACAATTTGCAATTTCTAGAGAAATTGCGTGTGGATGCTGCGGAAATGATTGAAATGAATCGTTGGAATGGGAGGCTTTGAATGTTTTCAAACATGTTTGATTGGAGGGGAAAGTAGGAATTTTTGGAATGTGACAGAAAGGTACCGATCCAGTGTCAGCTACCCAATAGGAGGCTGGCAGCAGTGGTCACCACAAAAAATTCTAATACAAACATGAATAATCAAATAAAAATATGTGACTCTCTCTTTGATGAGTTTTTGCAATCATTTTGATCTGATTTTGCAACGTACGTCATCTCTGGGCCGCACAAAACTTGACCCTGTTGATCTTGTTTAAAGTTCGGCACACACAGTAGCTTCGGTAGCAACAGATAGGACCAAGGTGGGGCGCAACATTCCATTGCCCGCAGCTGGCCGACATCACATCCAGGCTGAAATGTCGAATGGGACACTTGGAATGGTTTGACTCCATCAAGAAATGTGGAAGGAGGAGGCGCAGGTGTCAAATATCTCTTGAATGGGGGATTGCGTAACAATCGGAATTGTGAGGAAAGTCGGTGTTTCGGGAATGTGAAGAAAATAAAAATACTACCTAACGTGTCCTGAATTTTGTGACTATTTGGAATGTTGAATGTTTTTTTAATTGGGATTAAGAAATATGGAACGAGGAGTCCCGTCTGAAGAGTGAGGAGGATAATAACAATAATAATAATAATAATAACAAGAATAATAATGTTGGTGTTCAATAAGAGACTGGTCTTCAGTATTGCCACAGTTAGCCGAGTGGATGACCAATCACAAGGCTGGCCAAGAAATATGTTTGTTTTACAGTCGGCGCAAAATTTGCTCTGGCCATGTTTCTTCATGCCTATTGTGCCTGTTAAAAAAAGCAACAAATCTGTTATTCCTCCGGGGCCGACTTGTCAGGACTCCTTCGGGGGCCCCCTGCGCCTGAATTAAGATTTGGCTCACTCGTAAGATGTGGCCCTGACCTCTGACCCCCCCCTCCAAATGGTACGGTAAAGAACCTGCGCACCCAAGTTTTGTTCTGTTCCGTTTGCTTGGACAACATGAGCAATGCAAGTCCACGCCTTGGGTGATACTGCCATCTAGTGGTAATGACCTCACACAGCACTGATGCAGAAATCCGTTTTTTTTTTTATTTCTCTCAACCAAATGAAAAATTATCACTTCTAAAATACATTTTCACCATGAACACGAAAGCCCGGAGTCATTTTTTCATCAATTTGACTTTTGTATTGATTTGATTGGCTATTCAGCACAATGTTTGCCCACCCTGGTTCATGCCATTGTGAGATAATTAAAGGTCTCACTAAACATACAGTTTAATTATAGTAAATATTTGTATACTGGTCGTGGAATTTTTTTGGGCAATCAGCAGGAACATTCAGACAGCAAAGAAACTCTCAGACGCCAAAAGTTCATTTCAGCCACCTCAAAAGAATGGTTTGCATTGCAGTTGTCATTTTGACAGTAAACGCGTTGAAAACCACACAAGCGAACATGCCTTGAAATGATTAAAGCCTCCACAAAAGGCTCGGATTGCACTTAAAGTAATGGAGTGTGTGTCTGTGTGTGTAATTAAAAGACAGCAAGTCAGCCGACATCCCCGTCACTCGTCACTCACTTTCCGGTCCGTCAAGTGTCCTCATTTGTTCTGACAGTAGAGTGGATAGTTGACGCACGCCTTCTTCATGTCAGTGAGGAAGGCGGGAACGCCGCTCTGGTGACCAGGAAAACAAAACCAAGACAACAAAAGTGAGACAACAACATACTGAAACACATCCGAATGTGGTCAGACCAAATGAAGACAAGCAACGGGGCGGCCACCCCGAAGTGCATTCTTGAGTTTGTCAGTGTCGAATGAGGGCTAACATGCCAACGTGTTGATGGAAGGTGAAAAGAAAGGATTGGTCGATTGGCTTTCCTTACCTTGGCCGCCCAGTTGACCAGCCAGCTGGGAATCATCCCACCGGGATTGTCAAAGTAATTAATGAACACTGCAAAGTCCAAATACAACCATCAATCAGTTAACAAGTCAATCTTTCACGACTTTTGATTCGTGCTTGTGCAGCTGAGTAAATCAATTTGGCTTCTTGTTGACATTTCGCGTCGCGTTCAATCCGTTCCGTTCGCGTTCATTCGACATGCATTTCAGCTCTTTGGCGTACAATTGCGTCATTGTGTTGCAGCTCCGAAAGAAAGAGAGCTGGAGTGTTGTTGTTGTTTTTTTTTTTTTTAAGCATACACTTTATTAATTCTCTTAACACTCAAATGCAGACACGTATCTGTCCGACCACGTGCAGATCTTCTTCCTTCTCATTCGGCTTGAGAGACGTTCAAAGACCGCCTCCGAAAAACGAAAATTAACGATTACGTCAATGACGCTAAGAAAATCGAAAAGAAATGCGTTCTTTTCGATTTTCTTAGCGCAAAACAGAAAATCAAGCGAGAAAATCACAAAAGTGCAGATCTTCTTCCTTCTCGTTCGGCTCGAGAGACGTTCAAAGACCGCCTCCAAAAAACGAAAATTAACGATTACGTCAATGACGCTAAGAAAATCGAAAAGAAATGCGTTCTTTTCGATTTTCTTAGCGCAAAACAGAAAATCAAGCGAGAAAATCACAAAATAAATTCTATGGCTGGGGGGACTGAGACACACAACAAATGAATAAATAAACAATTCTGAGACAGTCCAGTCTCCTACAATCAGGCTACCTTTGGTTCCAGCGTGGCCGTTGGCCTCCATGACGATGGTCTGCTTGTAGTCTTTGACCCTCAGTACGCCGTTCTTCTCCGGGTACGGCGTCTCGGGCGAGCTTCTGGCCAGGACCACCCAGATCTTCCTGCCGCCCACGTCCAGTACGCGGCGCTCGCGGACGTACACGTACTGAAACCGCCGCATTAAAGAAGACGCCGGCAGCAGGACGCCAGCGGGCGTGTTGGCCAAGTCGAGCGCAAAAAGGATACGTCCCTGTTGGACAGCGGGAAGGGGTACGCGACCTCCCAGTAGATAGCCCGCTGCCCATCAATCTCCTTCTCTGTCAGCTCTGACAAGCCCAAACAAGGCCAGAGTCACCACCACAGTACACACACGCACGCTTGAAAAACAGGATCGCTATAGGACCGATCGTTGGCATTCTACTACTCGGCTAACTCCTGGGGAAACTTCGCTAACTTCATGAACGATTCATCATCTTTAAATACGGTTTTGGAAGAATTAACCAAGAATTCATCAAATGATTGGGATTTATTCAACATTATGTTTGGGGAAAAATTTAGGCACCCATGAATTTATTCAGTCAGCCTTTTTTATGGTTTGGGGAAAATTAACCAATAATTAACAATTGAATTAAAAATATATACATGTTTGGTCGTGTTTTGGGGAAAATTAAAACTTACGATGATAAATTGTTATTTTTATAGTATGTTTTAGCAAAATGAATTTTTGATAATTGAAATCGGTGTCATTTTGTAAAGTTGACATTTTATGGAAATGATCAATTGTGATATTGTGATATTCTTTTTCAGGAAAATTATCAAATGCATCACTTAATTTTGTTGATAGTACAATTGGGTCAAATTAATAATCAATTCCTACTTTTTAATGTGCTTTGGAAAAAATTAATAATGCTTAATTGTTATTTTGTCAATTTGAAATGTTATCGAATACCAACACACGATTAATAAACAAATGGTCCATTTTTTTAATATTGAGTTTTGTGGCAAATAAACACTTGGTTAGTTCTTTTTGAACATTTCTTCTTTGTGAAAATTAAGGTAAGAATTCTTGAAATGAACATGATGAGGAATCGATTCTGACTTGATTGCTACGTCAATGTTTTCATTGCGGCACTTTGTAAGGGAGGCTGTGCGGGCCGTGTCGGTCTTGACGAGGCTACGTGAGCAAGTTCACAGGCTGCATCTTACCTGCTGCCCTCTGCAGATGGGCGTGAAGACAAAAAGAACGGCAACAATTGAGTTTGCAACCACGCGACGTGCATGTGCTTGCAGGCTGAAGCGAGGGCGAGAGACTTGGCGCGGCGTTACCTTTGACGTAGGGATCCCAATGCTTCCGGTAGGCCAGGTCCATGTAGACGTCGGCGCAAAGCTCTGCCTTGCAGTCGTCCAGCGAGCCAAACACTTTGTATTCGTAAAGACCAGTTTTCTGAAAACACAAGTCCTTCATGTCATTGTTTTTGATGGATCCTGACACTAGATTTAGAGTTGCACTGTACTTTGTTGTAAACGATTTTTTTTTGTGGGGGAGAGGGGGGGGGAGAAAAAACTGTATTCCAAAACATTTTGCTGGGGTCTTTCGACGTGTGTGACTTTCAGTTGTGGACTATATCCCCTCTGTACTGCCACTAATCCCACAGTGCATGACAGGGATTAAAATCGGAGATTATTTTGTGACCCGGGTTGACGTCAGGGCCTAGCAAAGTGTGAACAAGAATGACGACTTTACCCGCGAGAGTGTGGCATTTGCTTGTCCTTGAGACTTTCGGTAGCTTTGAGGTGGTTTCATAGCAATTTAGGGCTAAAGCAGAGGCGTCAAATCAACTGTAAATTTATGTTATATTATTAATTATCATTTTATGTTTGAGCATCATGTTATTTCATGTTAAGATTACCTACATTACATTCTGTTGTTTAATAATTGCTTCGACATGTTTTTATGGTGATAGATTCTGATTGGCTGTTGAGTAAGTGAAAGCAGGAAGTGATTTTAGTTTGTTGAAGGAGTGTGTTCTCAAATTGTAGTATTATAACTTGTTCAAATAAAGATTCTAAAAAAAAAAAAAGGAGTGTGTTCTCGAACGTGCTACGCTGCTAACGTCTTTTTTTCCATCTCTCCTTTTGCCGTTCGTAAAGTAGAGCCGTCCATTAAAAACAACGGACCCCTCAATTTACACAACCATCATCGTTTGTCAAATCCCGCCGTCTGCAAGGCAGTATAATGACAGGCAGAACAATGAAATCCTCCACTAGATGGCAGAAGGTCCTAGTTGACATGCGTATGCTCCGGTGTCATTTCTATTTCGTCGTGCACAATGAGATTTGTCTGTTTTTGTGTTGCATATAATATCATCATTCCGCTAAAAAGAAATATAATGTTCAGGTGTCACTCATAAACCTATTCCAGGAGATGGAAGTTATTCATTTGAATTCATGGGTGCAATCATTGTGAGTCCGCCAGTTGTTTTTTTTATCATTTCTGCAGGGGGGCAAATGTTTTAAATGTGCACAAACCAGTGGAGCTCACGTGCACCTTTGCTGCCGCACATAAAGGCATCGTTCTGCTAAAAATAAACAATAATCCACAGTGTCAACGTGTCACTCATACGACGATTTTAAGAGATGGGTTTCGCGAATTAAGATCTGAAATCATTTTTTATTCAGTCAGAGTTAGATCGTGATTTTAGCGGGCGGCAAAGTTTAAATTTTGACTATTCGCATTGAGGTTTGGTGATACATAAAGGAGTCAGGTTCCACACAGTTGGATGCTATTTCCCAAACTATTCTACCAGTAAAACACGCGAAAACAATCAAATATCCATCAACCCGTGACTATTTCTCATTCGGAGACCTTGCGAGTTTTGCTGGTGTGGCTGTGTGGGAACACCCGGTAGTGCTGCGCCAAATGCCATTTGCATTTCCTACGGCGAAAGTGCAACCTGCTCGAGAAGTCTGTAAATGTGGACGCCCATGGTCTCGGTGAAAAGCTGCCATCCTCCGTCCAGCTGTGGCTCGTCCAGTTCCTTCCAAGCGACAGCAAAGTCTTCTTCCGTGAAGCGCAGCGACGACATGACGACCACCGGCAAGCAACGCTTCTGACAGCACCAACTTCCGCATACGATCACCAAAATAAGGGTATTCAAAAAGCTTGTTCCCGACCAACTTTTTTTTCCAACTCTCGGATTTTTACACGTTGAATCAATCTTTTGGCGTCGTATTAATTAACCTGTGGCCTAACTACCACTGACCAGTCTCCAATCACCCCACTGACCAGCCTCACATCAGACTGACCATATTTAAATAAGTGTTGAAATACATACAAATACAGGTACCATTTTTTCCACAAGAGTGAAATCTTATGATACTTGTCGTGAGCATGAATCAAGACAATTATATTCACACATTAACATGGCCGAGAAGTCATTGCTGATCATACCATCCACACATTTCTATTATGAGTTCTGTATATGTGTGCATTTCATTTCACGAAACACGGAGTGTGGATTGTAGAATAAAGAAGGACTTCTTGGCGTTGTGTATCTCAGGCAGCTTGAAGAAAAATTTAGAGAATTAGAGATGGAAAAGGTCCCTACACGTTGTACATAAGTGACAGTAACACAAGCACCAAAAACATTTTTAAATGTGCACCTAAATGCATTTCAGAGCTTGTCCTTTTTCCACTTTGATTCATTTATGTCAGTTGAATCGATGCTTGAAATTTTAGCAGCCTTTTTGAAACGCAAAGACTGCCACAAGCTCAAGTACAGCGTCTGAATACTTTCGACACCTCTGAAAAACTGATTTTACGTTTGGCCTTCAAAATAAGAGTAGACGGACGCTCGACAGAAAGAAATGTACTCTATAATCTTGTAAATAATATTGTGATAGTCCTATTATGTTTTAGTTTGACAACGAACTAAAGCATATCTATGTTGACTTTAATTGTATGAAACCTATTTTAAAAGAATTATTTATTCCATTTTATCAACCTTCTCATGGAAAAGAATTGCAAACATGTTTTCTGGCTCATGATAGTTTTTTTTTCATCCAACCATCCATTTTCTAATCTGCTTACCCTCGCTAGGGTCGCGGGCATGCTGGAGCCTTTGCCAGCTGTCTTTGGGAAGTAGGCGGATGACACCCCGAACTGGTTGCCAGCCAATCAAAGGACACAGACGAATAACCCTCCGCGCTCACAATCCCACCTAGGGACATTTTAGAGTGTTCCATTAACCTACCGTGCATGTCTTTGGAACGTGGGAGTAAACCGGAATACCCGGATAAAACCCACGTAGGCAAGGGAAGAACATGCAAACTCCACACAAAAAGGCCAGAGGTGGAATCGAACCCTGCACCTTGAAGTGTGTATTCTGCCCATGTTTGAACATAATGTACAACTATCCCATGTCAGCATGAGAACACACACATCCTCATGCCTGCAAGTAGACCTTTGCACCCTTGAATCATCAATCACTTGATTGAATCATCAATACACTTGATGATATCAGTTCTTCCTTAGTGGAGACAATGTGGAGACACACAGAACTTCGGAAAGCACCAGCTGATACAAGCTGATGAGTTTAGGAGAAACAGAGTCCGATGCCACGTCATAAGTTTCGGTACCATCCCTGACGATATAAATGTGCTGTGAATCTCTTACACCTTCGCACTCGTGATCTGCAGCCATTGTCTGTAGACCGCGGGTGCCGAGAATATTCTGCAAATAAAACCTTCGAAGGTACTGTTCATCGGCTCCAGCCTGTATTTGAATCACCAAGATAAGATAAGATAAGAGAACCTTTATTAGTCTCGCAATGGAGAAATTCCCAATTCACAGCAGCAAGTTATGAATGGAAGAAGTAGAACAACAAAATATAGGAGCTGCTGGAAAGGCAGCCACTCACAACATCCTCATCGTCCGAAATTAACGAACACGCGGAGGAAGAGTAAGGCCGACTCTGTCCCCCAACAACCTCTGCACTGTGAGACGGACGTGCTAACCAGTCGCCCACCGTGCTGCCCTGTTCTTTTTTTTTCCAGAATGAAATAAAAAAATGCAATCCCTTCACTATCTTAAATAATGTGCTGTGTGTTTCCCACACAGAATGTTCTTATTGTGTAATGCCAGAGTGGAAGTAGTAGACCATTAGCGTACTTGTTTCAATTGACACATAGGCCGTGTTGTCAATGGAAGCGCGTCCGTGACGTCAGTGTGAGACCCGCGAGCGGCCAGCGTGCTCATGAATGAGACGCGGAGCGACAACGTGCAATTTGCGCGCAACTAACTCCTCAAACAAACCTTCTCGTCACTCACCAACCTGACTGGAAGACAACAGAGGAAAGATTCCACGCCACACATGTTGCAGTTCTACTTTCAGGTGAGACACGTCCAGCCGTGCTTTTAACCCGAACCGGCCGCTCCAACGTGGACTTACAAGTACTACTTTCCGGACACTTGCGCTGGAGATGGAAATTGGGACTCCGAACACGTATATTTAAAAAAAGAAAAAAAGTCACCAAGATGAATTTGTTTTTGGACACGCTGACGCGTTCAACCAAGGTGGGAAAAGTTTGTCGCGTGGGACACATCGACTGTAGAGCTCTTTCATTAGGACCAATGCGCAGAGAACGTTTCGCGTGGGACACATCGACTGTAGAGCTCTTTCATTCGGACCAATGCGAATCAAGAAAACTGCAGTATTAATGTAGAATAGAATAAAACTGGAGCGAACTTTCTTATCATGGTCACGGGAACAATGCACAATCAGGTACACATCTCACAATTTTCAGCGTTAACGTAGAAAATGTACATTCAGCTTTTTGTCGATTTTTTTTTTGTCGATTTTTTCCCCCAGGATTTTTTTCAATTGTTTTCATTGTATTTGGAATATACGCATATTTTTGTTGTTTCACAAAATGAGAAAAAAAGTTGAGTGAACTCAAAATTTCAAGGTAACGAACTTGGATCAAAGTTCACATTGGGCAATTCAATAAAATATTTTAAATTTTGCTACTGGGAAAATTTTGTGTTTTGGCATTTTTCAAGAACTAAATGAGAGCTTTCAGAACTAATTGTCACTTGTATAGTCCCCCAAACCTCAAGCGAGAGGTCCAAACAACTCAGCAAATTGGCTTGGAGCAAACAACTTGCTTACTTTGTTAGGCTAACTAACATTGTTGCCACAAATGTCAATAATTTATGTTTTAAATTGCTCCAATGTAAAATGACTGTCTGCTGTTTAAATAGTTTTTTACACCGTACTCGCGGGCTGGATAACAGGCAGCCACTGTCATCCACCGAGTAACTTTTTAAAGGAGTAATCAGTTATCCGATTACTTTTTCAAGGTAACTGCAGGCGAGCGTGAGCCTCACAAGTCATCAGTAATCCTGGAACTAATCAAAGAGCGGAAATAAGCACACCTCGGGGAGAAACGCTGTGAAACAAATTGCAGAATTAATCACGGCCAGCTGCAGCATTTCCCCCAGTCACATGTTGCAATATTTCAACAAGAGAAAAACAAAACATCCGCGGGCGGCCGAGCTGAACTTTGGCGTGCCGGCCTCTCGCTCGTAGTCGAGGCCGTAATGTCATCTCCGGCGCTCTCGGGGGAATGTCTCAGCTCGTGCTGGCCTCGCGGCTCCTGCGTCATTTGGCCTGAGTCAGGAGGGGCGCGGAATGCGGCTGGCGGGGGTGTTGTGCGTTCTACGCCGTCGAGCCGCCTGGCAGCGAATCGTGACAACAAACATCTGCAAGCGGCCCCGCTCCCTGTTGCCGACAAGCTTCCCGAACGTTTCCAGGACCCAGTTCACCAACATTCGCAGGCCGTGCCGAGTTGTGTGAGCTCTGATGCTGCTTGACCGCAGCAGAAAAACAAAAATCATCGCCTCTGCTAGTTCTAGTCAGAACTTGTGGATTCAGGCAGTCTGAATGATTTCAAGCCAAGGCAGAGTAGCTTAGCCAAGGAGAAAAAAAAAAATTAAGATGTCTTCTCTTGGGCGGTCCAGTGGTTAGTGCGTCGACTTAACAGTGCAGAGGTACCGGGTTCAATTCCAGCTCCCTGTGTGGAGTTTGCATGTTCTCCCCGGGCCTGCGTGGGTTTTCTCCGGGTACTCCAGTTTCCACCCACATTCCAAAAACATACATGGCAGGCTGATTGAACACTCTAAGTTGTCCCTACGTGTGAGTGTGAGCGTGGATGGTTGTTCGTCTCTGTGTGCCCTGCAATTGGCTGGCAACCGGTTCAGGTTGTCCCCCGCCTACTGCCCGAAGACGGCTGGGATAGACTCCAGTACCCCCGCGACCCTCGTGAGGATAGAGCGGATCAGAAAATGGATGGATGTCTTCTCTTAGTTCTAGTCAGCGTTCGTGCCTCAAGATTGTAGAAACTTGTAGTGGCTAAATTGTCCCAACTGTGTTATAAATGAGTAATTACCAAAGTTGTTCACACAGGCAGGCGGACCCGACTGAGGACGAAGCCTCGCCTATGAAGCACCAGAGCCCGTCCGACTGCGCCATGCCAGAAGACAGCACTCGGCCCGCCATGAAAACCCCAGCGAGCACGGAGAAAACCGGCATGGGGGAGGGGCCGGCCGCAGCCAGCGCAGCGGTAAGCATCCCCCTGGTCAACGAGGTCCAGCTGGCGGCGGCGACGGGCGGCGCCGAGCTGTCGTGCTACCGGTGCACGGTGCCATTTGGCCTGGTGGTTCTGATCGCCGGCGTGGTGGTGACGGCGGTGGCGTACAGCTTCAACTCGCACGGCTCCACCATCTCCTACTTGGGCCTGGTACTGCTGGCGGCCGGACTGGCGCTGCTGGCGGCCAGCGTCGTCTGCTGGCGGCTGCAGCTGCAACGGAAGAAGGAGCGGCGGCGAGAAAGCCAGACCGTGCTGGTAACCACTCAGAGGAGACTTTTCACGTGAGCGCCACCCGGCGGGAGGAAGGGGATTCTGCAAGAAGCTGAGGCGGGGGACTTGGCTCACGTGACTTGACTTAAATCAGACTTCAGTCGCTCGTTTTGGGACTTGCTTGGCGAAAAACGATGTGAGACTCCGGTAGATCTGCTCACACCTGACGTTTGTGCTCACGAGGGCGAAATCGGCCAAATGACAGCTCGCAT